GGGTTGGGACAGCCATGCTAGCATCACCATTAAACCTGAACCACTGGCCATGGGAAGGAGACATTAGAAGGCAGGTCCAGGCTCACTGACTTCGGTTTGTTATGTATGACAGGTAATGTTTATAATTCCGAGCCTCAGTCTGAACATTTGGAAGAGGGGATGAACGGTACCCACTTTGTATTAAGACAGATCTGTGCTGTGCTACAAGAATGTAAGCCATCACTGCCCTGCATGTTCAGTCATTGGTTCAGTGCCCAAGGTCTTTCAAATCCAAGGAACTGTGCGTGACTTTGACGAAGAAGCACATCACTGCTGTTTTCTTCGTTGATATGACCTTCCCCAAGTCAACTGTGCTTCTCTTCGCATGCAATTCGCTTCTTGGGATAGCTTGTTGAGTGGATCTAAAAGTGAGTGGCTTTTATCATCCATCTCCCAAAACACAGCCTCTGAACTCGACACCTCAAATAACCTGGTGGAATGCTACGAACCTGTGAAGAAAACCTTTCCACTCCTAAGTGTCCACTTTAAAGGTGGAGACTTTGAGTGTAACACACCCAGAATATAAATCTCAGGAATGATTTATTTGTTAGGTGGCTTGCAGTGAATGTGCTTGCGTTTACTTGAACGTCAAGGCAAGGGTCTTGTCCCTGACCTGTGCATCACTAACACTCTTGAGCATCCGGGTAATGAGGTGAGGCAATCCCTATAGTGTTTCTCTCCCCACCAGGCCTCCATCCCTTGAGGGCATGTCTTACTTTCTTGATAGCCCAGAGTCTCACAGAGTAGCAGTTCATCTTTACCAAAGTAAACTTCAGCTTCCTCCTTTCTAAGATCTCTGGCACTCACTATTCTTGTTCATTTTCCTCCTGCCTACCACCTCCTTGACAGTGCAGTGTTTCCCCACCCCCACTCCCCCCAGAATACGGAGCAAAGGCCCTCAGCCTGTGGTCTGTCTTTCTGAGCTGCCACTCACTGTTGGGAGAAGGCACTTCTTTACTCCTTGGGTTAGCATGTAAAGATTTCCACACTCAGCTCCACCCACACTTACAGCCTTATCTTCCTCTGGACCTCTTGCTTTATATTCTGACCAAACTGGTCTGCTTGCCTGGCCTCAACTGTGTCCTGAGTTTGCCCTTTCTGAGCTCTGGAAGCTTCCTCATGCTCATGCATCTTGCTTCCCTGACTCTTTTCTTGTATTTCATGAAGTCTTGACTCCCACATTTCTCCCCCTAATCCTCAACTCTATTTCCTCCCTTCCAAGGTTTGTGATAATTTGGCACTTGTCACAGTCACAATCTTTGTGGCAAGAGGATCTGTGGACTTAGTGTTCTTCATCAAGGAGTTAAAATACTTCCAGAGAAGAGGCAGATTTTGCTCCAACTTGTGCCCCTGATAGCATCAACCATTCGAACAGATGCTAGCTCAATGGTTTTGGATGGAATTTAATCTGCTGACCAGGAACTAAGCTTCTCTGACTTCAGCCAAGTGCTGCTGTCCTGTGTGACCTCCTTTTGTACTCTGAGACAGCAACCCATTATTCAGCTCATTAGTTCTTGGATCCTTTCATGTGTTCGATTGATCTTGCCAGTTAGCTTGTTAGCTCACTGTGCAGAGAGACCCAACTGTGATCACACAGGCTTCGGGATCAAACAATCTGGTCTCAATGGCAACTTGGCACCCAATAGTTGTATGACCTTGGAGTAGTTAACCACTGGATATTTCCCTTCATCTGCAAAACAGGTCACTTCACTGGAGGTTGATAAATAACACCAGGTATTAAAACTCCTAGGCTAGGACTTGGCACAGAGTACATACTTAGTAAATGGCACCATTCATGGGCAGGACATTGGTCAGTCAATGACAGTAAATTACTGAAATAACAACTGACAATGGGAAAAGGGACATTGAGCCTCTGTATTCTAGCCCTTAGATGCCCATGAAGTTGAACAGTGTTCTCCCCTTTGCTTTGCTTGAGGGTTCGTATGACCCAGTAACAGCACTGTGCAATCACTAAGGCTCACAACTGAGCACCAATGACCCTCCCAAAAGAATCCCAAGATTTAGCTGAGTGTGGGGTCACAGTGGCCTGAGGCAGGAAGGTTGTAAGCTCAAAGTCAGCCTGGGCCACACAGTGAGACCCTATCAAAAACAGAGAGAGAAAGAGAAGAGATTGCTAGGCTCCTGCAGAATGAAGCTTGTGCTTGGGATTAGGGCTGGGAACATCTTCCTCTCCTTAAACACTGGATCTTAACAATAAATAGCATGAGATTTTAAGTGGAAAAGCCAAGTTACTGTGAGGATCTTGAAAGAGGTACTGTTTTAAAGATTAGTTTATTTGTTTTTTTGTTTTCTTGAGACAGAATTTCTCTGTGTAACAGCGCTAGCTGCCCTGATGCTAGCTCTGTGGACATGGCTAGCCTTGACTCACAGATATCCACCTGCCTCTGCCTCCCGAGTGCTGGGATTAAAGGACTGTGCCACCACGGCCCGGCCTAAAGATTAGTTTTAAGGAAGGTTTTGTTGTCATTGTTTGAGACGGGGTCCTGTTATGTCATTGCATAGCACTGGCTGGTTTAGAATCCATTATGTAAGACCAGGCTAGCCTTGAGTCTATGCCTCTCTCAACCCTGCTTCTGAAGTACTGGGTTTACTAGCATATGCCACCATAGCCAGATTCTATGCTTGGCTTCTATATCTAGGTTTGACAATATCCAAGTGTCATAGAACACACTCGTTTAGGATCTTTTCACCCAAAATGTAAAGTATTGGAGTAACATTTCTTGGGGGAAAGTTTCAGGGGTGACCGTTCACTGGGATGGTTAGCTCACTGGAATTGTTCATTACTAATGGAAAGCTGCCTGACTCCTGGGGTTTCCACTATAAAACATGACTCCGTGGGAAAATGGACTAGAATGCTAGTTACATGAAAACAGTGGATTTTTATCAGGTTAGTTCACAGCATGTGGTACAATGTGATATTTACTGAAAAATCAGTTGAATGAATGGCATCAAGAGTCTTAGCTACCAAGTTGGAACCTCAGGACTCACATGGTAGAAGGAGAGGACCAACTCAAGCAAGCTGTCCTCTGATCACCACACACATGTTATGGCATGCAATTACCACCACCACTCTGCCACATACACATGTACACAAGATAAATAAAATGTATTTCAAATAATTTTTGGATTGATTAATTTGGAAGGGAGATTCTCAAATGATAAACAAGTTTGTAAATATAGGCAATAAAGCAGGAATGGGACTCCAAACAAGTATTTTTAACAACCATTGCTACCAATTAGACTGGGAAGTTGGGAGGACTGAAGCCCAGAGGTGGAAGTCATGTTCAAAGTCACACAGTAAGTTAATAATCAAGCCAAGATCAAATTCTGGGCTCCCCGAATCCTAACATAATCTTTACCATACCATTAAAACATCTACATAAAGGGGAAAGAGGCTGTTTGATCAACCTTGTGACATTCACAGGGCAAACTTGTTTCAAGTTGGAGCCCTTGCACTGATACTCATGAGTTCATGACATCTAATCCCCAAGTAGACGACCATCCACTCGCTCTGCTCCTTGCCCTTCTCCATACAAGGCTAGATTAAAAAACAGGCTGGCTGGGCCACAGCCTATGGGGCAAGTCTGTTGGGTTACTGATATACTGGAGACAGCTAACAGGATGGAAGCAAACATATTGCTGTTGGAAGTAAAAGTTTCTTAAAGTCACTTGACCTCCTCTTGGCCTCTCCTTCCCTTCTCATCAAAGATCGAAGTCACCTCGAGTGATGATAGTAAGCACCTTCTCAGTCTAGGCTGTGAACCTTGGGCAAGCGAACCACACACTGAATGGGTTGCGATGGCACAGAAGAGGCTAGGGAGGCTCCTGTTTTTATCTCTTCTATCTTATCCATTCCTCTAAACCAAACACAAGTTAAGGAATCACTCATTAGAGGATCACAGAGCCCTAAGTTTTCCCAGAGTGGCCTGGAGTGGCACTGCCATTATAGGGGCCCTGTCAGACCAGCCAGCGGCAGTGGAAGCCTGAGTTCAGCCCACTCTTAAAGGAAAGATTTTGAGTCCCTTTGTGACTTAAGAGTTTAGGCCCGCTAATTCTTTGGAAATATGTCTAAAGAAAGACAAAAAAAAAAAAAATAGGACCCATTTTGTTCTGTTTGTTTTGGCCAAAATTTTAGGTACAGTGTTTGCTCACAGTGGAGTTCAGCTTTATGTAACTGGCGGAAGAGCCTAGACTGAGAACAAAGGATGTAAGATTTGAAGTTAGATAGACACTTGCACTTTACTGAATTAATCTTGTGACCCTGAACTTGTAACTCAACTCCTGTCAGACTCACTTTCCTCTGAATATAATGGGGAAATCTCAATTTTAATAGTTGTTAATTTAAATG